ACATCTGGCTTTTTTTCTGCTTTTGGTGGTTAATTACAGATAAGAGTTACATGGACTCTCCTGCCTGTACTTGCTCCAAATCATGATCCTTAGATCTCAGCCTGCTGCATTGCTAAGCCACCAGCAATCAGCTTGTATAGCATTTTTGTGTCAAAATTTTGTCCTGAGGATCATACTCAGCACCTTATATGTTCAAGGTAACTTCTCTACTATTGTACTCCAACTTCATTCTGCCTACAAAATGTAAATATACTTAAAAGTAAATTCTTGATTAATAAGTCCTGTTCTTTGGCATCAATTTAAATTCTTTTTTTTTCTTTTCTAATGCTGTGACATGGTCATGATCATTAAGAAGAATCACCGAGGACCATCCAGTGATTCTGAATGATTCAGAATCCCTGTCCCAAGAAGTATGGATCCAAGGAGAGTAGTACAGCATTGTAAGAAGCAGGGCATACAATGGGAAAGAACATGAAAAAATGCACACATAGGAGACTAGTAAGTGACTTGCTTTGTTTTGAGGTGATGATGATGCTTGTGAGTGGAAAGAGAACCTCAAAAAGTAAGAAAAGGCAGATTTTTTTCATCTTACTCAGCCCTCCAATTTGACTTTCCTGTCCATCCTAACACTGACAAGGGCAGCCCAGTCCAGCAGAACTCTCCTGCTGGTGGAGGGCTCTGATCTACTTCAGTGTGGTACCAGTTGGCAGTCTCCTGTTATATGTACTTATTCAACACTTGAAATATGCGGACTGTTTCATTTCCTGGGTTTTTAATTGACTAAAGAGTCCCTGTGGGGCTGGGAAGGTGGCTCAGTGGTAGAGCGCTTGCCTTGTATGCATGAGGCCCTGGGTTTGATTCCTCAGCACCACATAAGCAGAAAAAGCAGGAAGTGGAGCTGTGGCTCAAATGGTAGCACTAGCCTTGAGCTGAAGAGCTGAAGGACAGTGCCCAGACCCAGAGTTCAGGCCCCATAACTGACCAATAAATAAATAAATAAGTAAAAGAGTCCCTGTATATGATCACCTGAGACTTGTGGCAACTCTGTTGGAAAATGCAACTCCAGAATTAAGGTTGGCCAGTGTTTCCTTAAAGAGCCAGAGAACACATACTCCAGGTTTTGTGGGTATATTCTCTTGCAACTTCTCAGCCCTCATTCTAAAGTAAAATCATCTATGAACAATGCTTGAATTGTTTGGTAGGGCGGCATTTCACAAGTGGTTGGAAGACTGGGCCATAGATGGCTGACCCTGCTCTCAGGAAGACTATGTTTCAGAATGAGAGGATTGGGTTTAAAACCTGGGGTAATTGAAACTTCCAGCAACTCAACCTCTTTGAATGGCAGCTCTTCTATACAGTGCTTAGCTCATGTAGTTGTGAAAATGAGGTATATGTCCAGCAAAGAGAAAACAAATATCAGCTCCCTTTCTTGCTCCTAAATTGTCTCCTATGTGTAATTCTTCATACTAATTTTTGTTTTGCTTTGATTGGAGTTATGTTGTTATTATTGCTGTTTTGCTATATTGTTCAAATATCTAGATAGCTTATTAAGATTTCAGGATAAATCATTAAACATGGCTTATTTTATGTGTATGTTCTATTAGCTAAACGAAATGCAGCTGCAAAAATACTACTTTATTTTTCTCAGCAGAACCAAGCTTTGACAGTTGCCTTCCACTAGAAATGGGTGCAAGAACTCTTAGTTGAAGTAGTTTGGGTTGTGTTACCTTGAGCTTGCCCAGCCAGTTAAGGCATTAAATGATCCCCAGATAAGGATTCCAAGGCCTAAGCCGATGGTTTTGATAATTGGAACAACAGCAATGTTTCCTGTGGATACAATACACAGAAGAAATGTTATTTCCAATATAGAAAATACATTAATGAACTGAGCTAGTGTTTATGGGATTTTGACAAGTTCAGTGTACTAGAGCTCTCATTTGTTAAATACAATAATTACTTTTTAAGCACTATTTTTTTAATGTAATGATTGCTAAAAGAATTAGAGCTAAGGAGGTAAAATCCACTGGATAAAACATGCTATACTAGCTTCTTGCCTAATTGTACAAATGATCTTCATCCTTAAAGCTCTATTCTGTTTTTTAAAATTTAGCATTTTTTTTTATTGTGAGAATACCGTACAGAGGAGTTACAGTTACATGGGCAAGATAATGAATACATTTCTTATCAAGCATTGTTGCCTCCTCTTTGTTTCCCCTTCCTATCCCTTCCCATACTTCCCTCTTACCCCCACCCGATCTTCCCCCCACTCCCCAC